TAGCCACTTGGAACTATGTTTTTTCTTGTCTTTTTAATAATTTTTTTTTCTTTTTTAAAGTATGATGTTCTTGATGTCACCCCATAATTCATCAGGGCTTCTGCCATTAGCATTCCATGTGTTAAATATGTTCTTGAGATGTTCTTGAAATTCAAGCAGAGAAATCTCAAGATCCTCTTATGGCTCTCATGGACTTACTTGAATTTTCTTCAATGTCAAGCTGGACTTACATACAAGCAATTGATAGTCTGTTCCATGGCTTGGTTTTGATTGCTGATATTGAGCTTCTCCATCATGTCTTTCCACATGTGTACTTAGTCTGATTTCTGTGCATTCCGTATGGTGAAGCCCACATACATAGTGACCATTTATGTGGTTGATAAATGGAATTTGCAATGAAGAAATCATGGTGCTTGAGAAATTCTAGTATGTTTCTATCACCAAAGCCCATTTTGTTTCTATGACCAAAGCCATTTTTACCAACTCCTGCTCCATCCTATCTCTTTGTTTCCAACTTGTGAATTCCAATTACTAATAATAATCAATGCATCTTGATTGCATGTTTGATCAATATCAGACTGAAGAAGTTGGTAGAATTCTTCAATTTCATCACTAGCCTTAGTGGCTGGTACATCAGTTTGGTAATGGTTGTACTAATTGGATTTCCTTGTATGCATATAGATGTAATCCTATCACAACAACATTGCACTTCAAGAGAGATACTGAAAGGTTCTTTTTGCTGATGTGATGCCCTTCCTCCTGAATTTGTCATTCTCATAGTAAACCATCTTGTTGTCTGACTCAAATGCCCAATGCCAGTCCATTTCAGCTCATTAATCTTTACGCATCCCAGTTTTTTTAATTCCAACTTTTCGAGCTTAATATTTCATACATTCTACATTCCAATTATTAAAAGGCATTTCAAGCTGTTTCTCCTAATTTTGAGTAGTCCCCAACAGCAAATGAAGGTTCCAAAAGATTTGTTCCTCCTCGTCATTTTGCTCAATTTTATTTTGAGCCTTGAGTGCCTTCTAATCTGACTGGCTCACCTTGCGGACTGTATCAGACAATGTTACGCTGCTATCATAAGATTGCCACTGGCTAATTCCTCAGAAGTGGAGGCCTAATCCATCGTCATGTGGTATGGAAGCTCCAGTGAATCGTGCTCACCTCTGGTGACCCTGCTGGTACGTGACATACTAGTGACATGGTTTCCAGCAGCACAGCAACAAAGTGACACACAAGTTGTGGATTTCAGAAAAGAGATATTGAAAATTACAAATATCAATAAAATGACAATGATCACTATTAAAATAGTAACTAGAAAGGAACTAAACATGAGTTCCTAACAGGTTCATGAATACGAAAGTTCACAACAGGATTATTCCGAATAAAATGAATGACATGTTTAAGCATGTCTCTGTGATCCATGGATGGCTCAGGCATGTTCGCTCAGTAATAAATTTGCTGTAGCCTCGTGGGGGTGACACTGAAAAAGGAAAGGTCAATTCAAAAGGCTTCCAGGTAGATCTGCTGACAAAGTAAATTCAAAAAAGGGAGGTCAGCACAGCAGTTTATAGCAACTTGTTTGGAATCCCAAAAGGGCCATTTTAATAGATTTTCTCAAAGAACACAGGAAAACCATGGGGACTCATTGGGAAGACCTTTTAAGAAGATTGAAAACCTTATTAGTGGGGGTAAAGGCCAGGAAAATTGCACCAAGGGATTTATTTTTCATCCTGACAACGCACCTGTTCATTCTTCAAGGATAACAAGGGCTCCCCTATGAGAATTGTAATTGGGAAAATGCTACTCCATGGACCTTATACACATAATTTGGCATCATCAGATGTCCTTTGTGTTTCTCAAATTCAAACACATTTAAAAGTAACATGATTTGAGTCCCTGGAGTATGCCAAAGCTGTTGTTTTTGAGGTGGTATGAATTGAAGGTTGAAGAATTCCTCAAGAAAGGATTGGAGAGGCACAGCATTGCCTTCAGAAGCATACAGGTGCAGACGTCAAGAAAGCATCCCACCACACTTTGAAAATCATGTGCAATAAAGACTGCTATGCCTTTTGGAGTAATATACTTTAAATTTATTCTCATAAATGTTTGAGGAGGCTCCAGACAGAAACAGAATTTACAGTACAAAATATTCCTCATTGAGCCTTTCAACCTTCCATATGTCAGCAGACACTAACTGGCCCAAGATCCCCCAGTAAGTTGGAAGTGTCACTTGAATTAGAAAACTGCCTTCCTGCATCCCAATCAAACTAATGTATTTTAATAATAAATAGTAACCAAACAATTATGAAAATGTTTCCTTAGTATAAAAACACTTGATCAAATGAGTGATAATAGTCAACCTGTATGGAGTTTACTAGATGTTCTGGTCCTGTGCTAAATAAGCAGAATTTATTTCCTTCTCACAAGAATCCCACTTGAATAATCAAGTCCACTCAGGCAAGACAAGTTGAGCTTCTTATCTGAAGTGACCACTAGTGGTGAGTAGAAATCAGAAGAGAGTAGCCCAGGGTTTGGCCCACATCCTTAACCACGCACTAGCTTATCTAACCTGAACAAGAAGGAAGGAGATTTCATACACGCACTCTCCTTCATAATAATGTACAAACTACTGCAAATTCAGGCTTGTTATTGACAGACGTGTTCTCCGGGTAGGGCGTGATATGTAAGTGCACTGTGTATTAAATAGGGGCATGTAGTGTTGTAATGGGTAGGTGTTTGCCTGCTAACCACAAACTCTCCAGCTCTTCCGCAGGAGAAAAAGGAGGCTGCCGGCTCCCTTAAACATTGACAGTCTTGGAAACCCGTTACCAGGCCACCACACTGAGTTGGAATCTACCCAGTGGTGATGGGTTTGGGTGCAAACAACAGGCAGAGTGAAGTCAAAAGCACTTCTTATATTTAAAATCACTAACTGTGGAAAAGTCCATCAAATTGCTTCGAGTCATGAAAACCAGACGTTTTGGCTTTACAGCTGCTTTTTTACCTGTGGAAATGATTTGTCCAATCATAGCATATTTAAAAAGTGACGCCACTTACCTTCTGCTCCGTGGTAGAGTGGTCATAATTTCATTCACGAGTTCTATGCTATCATCTAATGCCTTTCCATCACTGTTGGCTTGTTGCTTGCCCACAATGGCCAGAACCAGATCTTAGTCATCGCTATTCTTCCAGGACCAGAACCAGAGGCTAACATAATGCAGATTCCTAATAAATAGTAGAATTAGCCCACAAAATATTTTCTAAATGTTCATTAAAGATGTTTAATAATTACTATAAGTGTTATTTTCTTATATGTAGCTAGACATGGATTTCCCTGTGTGAAAACTGTATTTAAAGTTGCAGTAAAACTTGGAGTAAAGATTTGAAGCAAAGCTATTTGGGTTCGAGTCCCAGCTCGGCCCTTCACTAGCTCTGAGAATTTTATTTTATTTTATTCTTCTTTCTCCCATCGATCATCTGGAAACTGAAGACAATATTATATAATAGGGTGATCTTACAAATTAAGTAAATCCATTCATATAATAGTATAAATAGCATTACACACTGTGCTCGGAGCAGAAAGCCATCGTCAAGGCCAGCCACAGCCCCACCATCTCCTCTCTGTGACCACCATCACGGTCTTCACCGGCACTGTCTTACCAGTATGCAGCACAATACCTGGCACATAGCAGACTCTTCAAAAGTGATGACTTGTCTTGAATTTTAAGAAAATATAATAACTACCTCTTTAACCTAAAGGCTATTTTACACAGGTATTTCATTCCACATTTACAGATGCAGTTCTACCCTGGCCAAACAGAATTGATACATTGGAATCAACTCAATGGCAGCGAATCAGAGATTTCCATAGAAAGGAAAAAAAGAAAAAGAAAAAACAGGAAAGGAAAGTCGGTGTCAATGTCTGTTTTTTCATATAGGTGATTCCACTTTCTTTATAGAAGGTGAGAAAATGGACATTTTGGAAATGAACGTGTTTACATCCCCAGTAGCCCAGCAGGGAAGCCCTTACCAGCCACTAGGAAGGAGAAAGATGTGGCAATCGGCTTCCATAAAGACTGCAGCCTTGAAAGCCCTAGGAGGCAGCTACTCCCTGAGTCCAAATCCACTCCTTTCGGGGCTGGGTTTGGTTTTTGGTTCTGCCAAAATCAGTATCAGAGCGACCACTAGAGGGAGCGTTAGTTTCATTGGTCACCAATAATAACTGCCATTTGTAAGGGCGGGTGGTGAGTTTGCTCTTTAATCACCCAACTTCTGGACGGATCCTTCATTAGAAAGGAGAGAGAATCACTAGAAACTACTTAGAAAGCTTTTAGGAAGTGAAAACACTTTCAGGACTTTAATCATCCAAGAACAGAAGTGAAGTTCAGGTAATTCTTTGTTTTCTTTCTTTTTTTTTTTAATTATATTGTAGTAAAATATACATAATACAATCAATTTTTAAAAGGGTGGGGGAAGGACTGTCTGGCCTGCACTCCTGTTCTTGGGCAACAGGGAGAGCACACTTACTGTTTATGTCCTGAAAATTGTAGTGTAGCAAAATATACATAAAGGGAGCCCTGTTGGCGGAGTTACCATTGAGCTGCTAATCACATGGTCAACAGTTCGAAACCATCAGCAGATCACTGGAGAAACACTTGAAGTTTTCTACTCTCCTTAAGAATTGCAGTCTAAGAAACCCCTAGGGCACCCTAGGAGTCAGAATTGATTCAATGGCAGTGAGAAATTATACATAACAAAATATTTCCCATTTTAACCATTTTTAACTACATAATTCAGTCGCATTAACTGTACGCACCAGGATGTGCAATCATTACCATTACCCACTTTCAAATGGTTTTCATCACCCTAAACAAAGTCTTCACACTACGTAAGAAGTAGCCCCCTATTCCCCACCCCGCCTCAACCCGTGGTAACCACCGATCAAGATTTCAGGCATCCTTGTCCTTTGTCTCTTCCAAGCCGTATGTTACCTGTGTCTTTGCTCCGGTGCTGTAGAGCCCTGCAGTACGTCCCATGGCTGCAGCACTTGGTATGCAGAAGAAAAACGAAGGGATCACATTACTGAGGCCATGTGCCAACAATTCCTGCAGGATTGATAAGGGGGAGATTATACCCTGCCTTAATCACAATAAACGGATTAGAGACCACCACGGACACAACTTGCTGATGAATGAGTCTTGTTTGTACTCAACTCCCATTCTCCCTCACCAGTTGGAATTCAAGAATAATAAAAATAGCTAATAGTCACCAAGGCCTTATAATGAGCCAGAATGTGTTCTAAGAACTATACTCATAACAACTTCTTTGGGGGGAAATGCACATTTAATATATATTCCCCACTGCCAGATTTGTCTATTTTTTTTAAGTCACTATAATCAGACTTTTTTTTTGCCACCCCAACAGAGAGCTCCACAGTGGTAAATCCAATCGTCAGCTGAAACATTTGATCTGAAAGTAGCATTTGAACCAGTGGCATACTCGCTTCTCCTGACCGGCATGCCTTTGACTGTAGGAAAGGGCATTATCCTGGCTTCCTGATACCTCTTTGGAAGCCCTTTCCCTTGTGGTGCCTTCTAGTGTAACTCATCTCAGAACTTCATATCCAACACAGCTAGCCTACGGCTCAGCATCTCCACCTTAATGCCCAAGGGCTGTCTCTGACAAGTCAGGCCTACTGCTCTGGGCCACCTCCAACCTGCTCCTCCAACATCCTTTCTCAACTCAAGCTCCTATTGTTTGTGTCAGCAAAAGGCGTTTGTGTTAGCCCGGATACACATGCCCCTCCTTTCCCCCACATTCAATCCAGAAGCTGTCTCTTCCTCAGCGCCTGACTCTCCATCCTGCTGCAAGTCACTTGGAGTATTGTCAGTGCCTTCAAAGGGCTTCCCTAGCTTCTTCTGTTGCCCGGAAGCAATGCAGACAGACATCCCTACCCAGGAAGAGCCAGTATCCATTTGAACTAAAAAGGCTGACAGCAGGCGGGATACAGAAGAAGAGGAACGCAGTGAAGGCCATAAGAAGCCCTGGAGTTCTTCAGGTAGGCCTTGAAGAAGAGGACATGTGAGGAACTGGGGACAGAGTTCCAGCAAAAGGGGAAAGTAAGGACAAAGGTTCTTCTGGTGGTTCCATGGAAACCCAAGAGATAAGTGTGGCTAGAACAGAGTTCCCAAGGGCTAAGAGAGGGGTGATGGCATGTGATGTAAGCTCCCGTATGCCACCACGGGGGAAAGCTGACTTTATTCTGAGCTTGATGGGGAGCCACCGGGAGGTTTGAGCCTAGGAAAGCCATCGTCCCTCTTGTCCACCCAGGATCCCTTGTACCTAGAACAATATTCAACAAAGCTGTTGAATGAATGCATCTCCTTTTACATTCTACAGTTCTACTCTGACGCAAGTGGGGTGGCCGGGAGTTGGAAGGTGCTCTGCAGCACCTCTGAGAGTGTTGGGAGGAGGGGGGTCCAGGAGCCACTGGGCCTTTGCAACCCCTGCGCGGTTGCCGTCTCTGCAGAACTGCGCAGCTCTGGGAAACAAAGTGTGGAGCTCCAGCCTGGAAACCCAATACTGGCAGACGTGTATGCAGATGTAGAATCCATAAAATCTGGACCATTGGTATTCAGACTATATTCGCACTTCATGTCAGTTTGTGTACCAAGAAGAGTCAGTGCTATGAGCGTGTTGTTTGGACTTTGAAATCCATACTTTGAAAAGTTAACAAGGACGTCTTCATACAATGATTCTCTTAAAAAAAAAATTACACAGGACATCAAGTATGTCTCTCTCTCTCTCCACTCCCCTCCACCCGTTTCTCTTACTTTGTCTCTCAAAATAAAAAAAAAAAGGAAATTGGTAACCAACCCATGAAGTTAGATTTTCTCCTTTTTATAAATAATATAGAGATTTGGGGGTTCATTTATTTCATTTTCGACTCATTTTTTCACACACATAGGTGAGCTGTATTTTCCATACACTCCACATTGTGGAGACACAGAACACTGATACAAACACGAGT